CATTCATTGAATCAATCATCAACTTGCAAGGCATAGATCAGTTATGCAGCATAGATGGAAATGTAATGTAACAGTTCATTCATTAAAGTTTATTATATGTATGACAACAAGAACTATCAAAAATAGCCAACAAAAATTCCTATATTGGCTTCTTCATGCACTTATTATAGTGACCAGTTCATTACTTGTTGCATCCAAGATCAATGGGCACTGTATACCAGAGTTGTCAATCCTTGCACATCCTCCTTGATTATTCACACCAAACCCATTGCATCCCAATCCATTGGTCCATGGTTTGTAAAGTAGGGTACCGGCACCTCTATCATACCTTGGCTTGTAACAGCTCTTTGGTGGCCACCACTGGTATAGATCCATGTCATCGTCATACTCTGGTCCACAGAAATAGCTGTTATATTCCCAGGAAACTGTGGCAACTCTCATGTAGTTTTCCAGATAATATTCCTCATTTTCATCACATTTATCTCTTGTGAACGTTTTTGTTGCAGTGCATAATGGAAAATTTGCCCTAGCAAGAAGTGAACATTTAAAATATGCAATTTTAAAATTTTTATGGTAAAGGTACATGCAACTGTATCAATTAACATTATTTCATTTTTTATATCATCTACACATAATTATATTTGAATGTACACACATATAATGATCACACACTGACCAGCAAGTGGCATAGTCATAGGATGACATTCTAGGGAACCAGGCATAATCGTATTTAATTTCATCTTCTCTAGCATAAACAACAGGATCCTACAAAAGACAGCAAAGCAATATGTTAGAAATACATGTACATATGCATGTTTTTGTGTGTCTAAATTCACTGTTTCTGGTTGAATGTGATCAGGGAATGAAGAGCTGTAGAGCTCATTTGGAAGATTATACAATCTCAGTATATTGTCATTATTGTAAGTCAATACACAAGTACCACTACCATCAGGAGACCTAAAACAGATAAACAGAAATATTTGTACGTGAAATTAGCGACATCAAATGACTGCTGCTGTTGTTTTAATTACCCTTGCATGAATGTGTAAGTACTGATCATGTGTGACATGCAATCTAACTTGACTACGCAGTGATCATTAATAAGTAGTGCTATTATCATACCACTTGAAGTACACACGCAACTGTCTTCGTTATTCATTTTTAGCCTCTACGAGAAGTTGAGGGCCAGTTTCAAGATCATACAATTCAGTAATAGGATCATTTATCAATGATAGCATCATCATTGGTGTCTTCGTGGGTGTGGCATTGTCTACGTCTCATCCCCGCTCCCTTCCACCTGAATACATCATAATAAACATTTAAAAGAGAAATTATGGAGCTAACTATATGCCTAGGCTCAGGCTTTGCCACATTTGAATTTTGAAAACATCATTCAGTCAACAGTACACTGCAAGGTACACTTCAAAATAATTGAGCCCAATCCTGGGGGCTTGCCCATATGTGCACGAAGATGTCTGTTATATCAAAATTTTGTCCTACTCGTCAAAATTGTGTTGCTATTTTTTTATCCTAGGATAAATGATTGTGCTGCTACTTTTTGTCTTATTTGAAATGTTTGTCCTAGTACCTTCCTAAGATAAAGATTGGCTGCCAAAATTTGTCCTGGGTTCAAATTTAGCAGTAAATTTGTCCTAAGGTTTTTACAAATTCTCTGCCCTTCATAAACTTTTAGGCTATTTCAACATCTAGATATATAGCTAGATCTATAAGGCCTTCTTGCTGCATAAAGTTTGTACTTTGTAGTATCTATGCTTGTTGCCATCATTGCAATTGATTATCTAACCTTTCAAGTTGGGAGGAAAAGCAGCTTGCATGTATGTGCTGCTACTTCTGGCATTCAAGAAGAAGTGCAACTGCAGGAATCTATATGTTGCAGCAGACTTTCTTTATGCCAAAGCTTTTTAAATTTTAATAATCAAACAGCTATTGCAGTGAGGCCACATACCATAGGTGCCTCGTTATTACATAGGGACTGAGTGGCTTGAATGAGTTTCAGTACTCTCACAATTCGATCAGGTGTTAACAAATGCAAGGTAGACACTTTTATGTTCATTATGAGCCAACCACTATAATTTATAACAAAATATAATTTCATGATTTTATAATTCTTGATTCGATTCTTTATGCTCAGACGTGTTTTAACATACTATCTAGTGCTTTCAGACTACACTAGTAAACAAGAGCTGCGTAATAAAGTACTGATTGCTATAAGACTAGAACAAAAAAATTTAAAAAATTATTTAGTGTAGGGTTGAGCCTCTGTTGGATTTGAACCTATAAAATGAATTCAAACAAGCCCCTGTAGGGTTGCTGGTTTCAAACTATAAAATGAATTCAAACAAGCCCCTGTAGGGTTGCATCACCATTGAAACACCAACATGTCAACCCTACACTGCAAGCCCCTGTAGGGTTGCTGGTTTCAAACTATAA